TGCCCATGGCAGTGTCACACTCGGCATTGCCTTCCAATTAAAATGTGTGAACTTCCAGCTTCTTTCCTACTCAGTGCACCTCCTTATCCCACCACAACTCCTTCTGTTGACCTTCTCCATCCAATAAATTTTGTGTTTTAAGTGAAAAATTAAGTTTTAAGTGATCCTTTAAGTGAAAACTTGAAACTTGAAGTGTGAACCCACCCCCCCTGGATCCACCCATTTCTTAACAATACTGGATTATAAATTCACTCTGAGGATGAAAAGTAAAATTAGCCCATATTTCAACAAGTTAAATGGCATGAAAATTGCTGGGCACTCTAGATCCAAAGACCAGGCTGCCTCTGCTTTGCTCTGTGTCTGCTCCAAAGGCTCCACAGGACATGGCACAACACAACCAGGCCATGTCCAGGCTTTAATGGCTCTGGCACACTTGGAACCTCAGGAATTCAGCCCAAGACACGATCCCAAGCTCAACCAGGTCACACAGCCCAAGGCAGAGAAGGTGTGTGTGGTACTGAGAACTTATTTTCATATTTCTTCAGCTCCAGGTGCTGCCAACAACGGTTCAAGCCCAGCAGGATTAGTTTAAATCAGCCTCAGGCTTGCTCTTCTCCACAGCTCGTGTCATCTCTAGGGAATTTATTATATGGAGAAGGAGGCTGCATTGCTTCAGTCCCCTTTTCAGTCCCCAAAACACCCTGGACTGACTTGTGGTCCAGAGGGGCCAGCCCCCCATCCCAGCCTGAACCAGCCCCATGGCCATGTTCCTGTGTGGAATGTGATCTTCCTGATCTAAACCACGGGATACAACACACACATAATGAACCAGACCTGCCTCTGAATTGCTGAGCACAGCACACAACACCTTTGGAACTATTTGTACAGTTCCACCTCCAGCTTAAGATCCAGCCTGAAACAGGCAATTAATTGGCTGCTTTCTGGGATCTCACATGGAAAATGCAAACACTGGACCAAATAAAAACCAGCAATGAGATTTTTCCGCGGCCTTGCAGAAAGTTCAGAGCGAGATTTCCACCAGCCCTCTGAGTGTCAAAGGTCTCTGAGGGCACCATTTATCACCACAGCAGAATTTAAAACAGACATCAGTATATTTTAAACTATTTTATTTATTAAATTTTCCCAGGGAGAAAAGTTCTGTGGCAGAAAACTCCACTGGCAAATAGTTACCTCTTTGTATTGACCCCCCTCTGGATTCATCTGCTAAACCCATAGATGGAAGTGGCTTTAGTGTTTCAGACAGTTTTGGCTTCTCTGCTGCTGAGTACAGTTGGATTAGTTTCTGAAATAGAATTGGCTCCCAAATTATTTGAAGCATTTGTGCTCAGGGAATGCTGGGAAATGTCATTAGCGTGCCATAATACTTTTGTCTAATGCTCTCCAAGTCTATGCCAAAATAAAAAAGGGAAAAACAGTGTCTATTTTGACTCCAGCAGCACAGCTTAAGTACTGTGGGAGCAGATCTCGAGCACTGCCTCGAATTCAGATGAATTAATGACAGCAAACTTTAAGCTGAGTTTATTTCCTTTGTCTGGAGAAGAGGCAAAGGTAATAGCTGATGAAATAAAATACAGATTTATGCTGGGGTCTTGGTAAGTTGGAGTCTCTTTGTCTACTCATTGCCTGCAGTAGATGAGGGAGGAAGAGGAACAACCCCCCTGCCATGTCAGCAATTTTCTGAGTCTCCCCAAATCCTGTCATTTATTGTGTGCAGTTCCTTCAGCTTTCATTCAACACATTCCTCACCTCCTCTGGGGCACTCTCTGCTTCAGAGGCTTTTGTCTTCTGCTCCCAATTCCCCTGTCTATGTGCACTTAATCAAGTGCTGAGTTTGGAGCTCTAACTTTTCCATCTGCTAATTAATTCCCATCCACGAGCCACCTCCTCCTCCACCCCAGAAGATGCTGTACTCACAAGCCTATTTCCCTGGTGACTAAATCAGGAAATTTATTACCAATCTTTTTCTAGCTGTGCCCTGTGGTCTGACAGGAGCTTGTGCCAGTGTTCCAAGGGGCTGCCATGCCCAGGAAACCACCACAGCCACCTCCAACAGCTTCTGACACCAGCCTGCTCCAGGAATTGATGGTGCTCTGCAAGTACAATCCTACAAAACTATTCAAATCCCTTAAAAATTAGTCAGAACACTGAAGTGTGGAGCAGCTGACTATTTATTTCTTTAAGAATCCAGAATATTTTCAACATGTAGACATCTCAGACAACTAAAAAGGAGTAAATAAGTAAACAAATGCTGTGAGCCCTCCTTCAAAACAAACCAAACACCCAACAAGACTCTGCCAAGGGGCTGTGGGTGTACATGCTATGGATGGAGATCAGGTTGGCAGTGTTTAAAAGAAGATGTATTAAAAAAAAACCAAAACAAACCAGAAGAAATCGCTTCCCTGTGAGGTGAGTCAGACCAACATAATTAAACACAAGCCATGGTCATCAGTGCTAATTAAAATGGGGTTCTCAGAGGGGTGACTTTGGGCCAGAGTCTTGAATTTATCTCTTCAGTGCTTGAGCAGCACAAAGCAGAGGTAGGGGCTGCTCAGCCTCCAACAAATCCTGCTCTTCCCTCAGCTTGAACCACAGAGGATTTGGCCTCTACTTCAGTTCAGTTTTCAAAACAGTTCTTCAAATTCACAACAAAAGCAGATACACTTCGCTGGGAGCAGGTGCAGAGACATTAACACTGGAGGAAGCCTCTCCCTGCCTCAGCAATGGGTTAATATTGTCCTTTTTCTGTCACCAAAGCACTGCTCTGCCCCATCACAGACCTGCTGGGGACAGTGGTTTGCTCCCCCCTCGGCCCCACTGCCCCCAGCTCTGGCCACAGCATTTCCCACAGGGGCTGAGGGATCCCTGCTGTGGTTCCCACTGCATTTCCAGTGCCTAACTAGCCTCATCAATGCAGTCCACTTAATAAACCCAGCCCTGGTTTGCCAAGGGAAGGTGAGCAGCCACAGCCACCCAAAATCAGCGGGTTTCGCTTCTCCCCTTAGTCTCCCCATGTTTCTTCTACCTCCAGCCTTCAAAACCATCTCTTTTTCTGCACAGAACCAACCAGAAATAAAAATTAACCCTGCATTGTAGAGTCCCTTCAGCCCTGCATCCCATCTCCAGCAGAGGATTTAAAACCAGACCACACAGGGATACCCCCAAATACCCTCCCCATCTCCAGAGATTTACAGCTCAGAAAAACCTCTCAGTCATAGTTGGGATCTTTGTATTTAAGTCTTTCATGTCCTTTTCTCTCACACAAATTCGTGCAGTTGCTTTTTGCACCTATGTAAACACAGCTTAACACAATGAGGAGATTTATAGATGTTGCAGAGAAAACCACATTTCCTCGTTGCTCGGAGCCTGCCACCCACTCACTGCCTCCAAACCTGCTGCCAGCTCAGTCCCCTCACCTGCTTCCCCCTAAATACACATCCTGGTCCAAGGAAGGCACTAGGATGGGGATGGGATGAAGCACACAGGGCCCAGAGAACCATCCTGCAGCGCTGTGCACTGCCTTTCAGATCCTAAAAGCAATTCCCAAACAAGAGGAAAACCCGCATTGCACATGGCATCAAATCATCCCAGGGCCACAGAGTGTTCTGCTCCAAAGAGGCATCACCTCAGGACATCAAAAGGACATCCTCATGTCCTTTCAAACATGGAAAGGACCACTGAAGGAGTCAAAATGGCTTGTGGGGATCGTGCTGGTGGGGGTTATGGCCGTGCCTGAGGACCTTGTTGGTCTAGAGGATGAGAGTGGCAACAGAAGCAGTGGCACCACCTGCATGACCTGGCTGCTCTTTGCTTCTTTACCTGCACTGGTAAGGAAAATAAGAGCTAAAGGATCAAGCTGAGCCTTTCTCTTCATTTATTCACTGGGATGTTTCAAATTTTTCCAGCTGAAAAAGATGTCAGATTTTAGGAACTTTTGGCTGTTAAAAAGATGCAGGTCAGAAGGGAAAGCAAGACCTCCCTGAGGAGGGAGACCCAACTTCTCCCTGGAGAAGAGAAGGCTCCAGGGAGATCTGAGAGCCCCTTCTAGAGCCTAAAGGGGCTCCAGGAGAGCTGGAGAGGGACTTGGGACAAGGGATGGAGGGACAGGACAAGGAGGAATGGTTTCCCACTGACACAGGGCAGAGTTAGATGGGATGTTGGGAAGGAATTCCTGGCTGGGAGGGGAGTGAGGCCCTGGCACAGGTTGCCCAGAGCAGCTGTGGCTGCCCCTGGATCCCTGGAAGTGTCCAAGGCCAGGTTGGATGGGGCTTGGAGCAACCTGGGATAGTGGAAGGTGTCCCTGCCCATGGCAGGGGGTGGGACTGGATAGGTTTTAACATCCTTTCCAACCCAAACCATTCTGGGGTTGTCTCATTTCCACTCAGGACACTTTCTGATTGCAACTCTCTGTGCAGGACTCAGATGAGGCTTCAGCTCAGCAGATCTCCTGCAGCAAGTGAGCTTCTCCTGCATCTCCTGCTTTTATGTGGAGTGGCAGAAAACCCAGGGGGAAATGGGAGCACAAGCAGCCACCCTCCTCCCTCAGCACAGGTCAGAGAAAAGATGACACATGAAAAAGCACAGGGCTCTGTTTTAACCAGTGCACCTTTGGTGGGAACTAACATCACAGCCTGATCCCTTCCCCTTCTCAATTCCCACAGCCTCCCACCTCCCCACTGTCTCAAAGCTCACAATTTACCATCTGCCCTTGATCATCTCTTTGTACTGAAAACGTGTGGTAACTGCAACATCTTTACATGCAACAAATTATAAGGGAGATAAGAGCAAACAAGGAAATAGTGAGCAGGACACAGCCAAAAGCAATGGTACATCCTGTAGTGCTTCCTGTCATCTAACCACTGAAACGACACAAAAAAATACCCAAACACTTCTTTTGTCTAGAACTTCACAGTGTGTGAAAATAAACACCTGGAAAAAATGAAAATGCTATTCAAAAATACAGGAAAGAATGTAAAACTTACCAGGCTCTAACTTGATTATTTTTACAGCAGCCAGTTCTCCTGTATGAAGATTTCTAGCCTGAAACAAGAGAGTTAAGACATATTTAATTAAATTATCCTGCAAAGGCACTTCACAGAGTCTTGCAAACTGTGCAAAGATAAACTACGATGTGTGTTACAAACACGATGCAAAGCTGAGAGTGACCTGGGTGAGGATTATCTGGGTTGGGAATCAGCACAGCATCAGCCTAGCTGGAATTGTGAAATGTTCCTGGCAGTTCTGTTGGAGACTTTAAGGCAACCACCAGCAAATCACAGAATTTGGGTTGGAAAAGACCTCCAAGGTCATTGAGTCCAAGCTGTGATTCCAGCCCGGAGCACTGAGTGTCACCTCCAGGGATGGGGACTCCACCACCTCCCTGGGCAGCCCCTAACAATGTTTAATCACTTTTTCTGTGAAGCAATTCCTCCTGATGTCCAACCTGAACCTGAAGATGAGAGTTCATGCCTCTCGAAGACCACTTTTAAGGGAAGTTTCTGCCGTGATGCATCACGGGCTGTCAGAGCACGGAGCACACGGAGCTCAGCCACCCATCTCGTGGTGCTAAAACCTCAGGGTGCACTGAAAGTGGAACTGAGAGGTGCAGGGGCAGGGGGAGGCACTGCAGAAGCAGCTTGAACAAGTCACAGCTCCTTGTCAACAACTTAATTCTGAAAACCAACTCCTTCGAGCAGCCCTCGCTTCCCACGATCCTCGGGAAGAAGGAGAAGGGGTAGGGAGATCCAGATAAGCCTTTACAGAACTGTCCTCTCTGGATATGCTCAAAAATTCACACTGAGAATTCAGCACTGGAGGAGGATGTCACAGAAAAGTCAGACACAGAAAGTTTTAGAAGGGGATTTCATTAACACTTTTAACCATAACAACACGACCTAAATCACTCAGGCACCATCACCAGAGCTAAACTCTTAAATTTTGGACACACAGCGTGATTCAATCAGGCACTGTGGCATTCATTCTCCTTCTGCTGATCACCCAAAAGTTACAGGAGTCCAAACCCAATTGTTCCATTCCTACCCTAACAAACATGGAGAGTCTGCTTCAGAAGTGGATTATAGAAAAAGGAGGGAAAACTGGTTGAAATCAATTTGGGCAGTTACTTAAGAGGAGGATGTAAAGCAAATCTGACCCTGTGAAGGGAGTCATTACAGAACAAAACACTCTTCTCCTGTGGATGGATAAGTCTTAACAACAGGTAAAGCAAGAACCTGAAGGGTGAACCCCTCAGTTTTATCAAAACTTATCAAGCTTCCAAATAGGGAAAGGCTTTCCAGCCAGGAAAAAACCACAGCAAAACCAAACCAAACCAAAAAAACCACCCCAACAATCACTGGCCTTTCAAAGCCCTGCAGTGCTGGGACGTGAGGTGGGTGTCAAACGCAGGCCAAGGACACAAATGTGACTCAGCTTGAGGTCAGAGAGAACCTGAACAACTGTACAGTGGAACCAAACATCTGAAGGCCAAATCACTGAAGCAGATTGCCATCTGCAAACCACAGAGGAAACATTCACCACTTCTAAAAGTACCTTCCTACCACAGCGAAATCCTTGGTGTCCTTCAGCATCCAGAAGGAGAATGCATCCCAGTATGGATAAAGGATTCTGCTCCTGTTACATCTAATGATACTGTTGGGAAACATGGATGTTCCCATCAGGGACACACACCCTGCCTTGGTGAAGCCAGGGATTCTTCACTATCCAGTGTTACCCACAAGGAGCTAGGCTGCTCACATAAAGGCTGCACAGTTTCCAGAAAATCAGCTTCGCTTCTGAAGTACAAAAAAGATCATATTCCTTACAAATATTCCTTTTCCATACAGGCAGTAACTGCCACTGTCATGCTGAAGCCTGAAGGAATGGATGGAGTCTGCCAAAGGCCTCTTGGCTGGGATTTGGAGGTCCAGGCTGGAGATCACTGCTATTCCTGGCTCTCAGCTCTCACACACAACAGCTACAGAGTTCCACCAAATTTTGTCCAATACTACCACAAAGCTTTTGCATATAACCCATAGCTTGGATGTGGACTATTTCATGTTTGGACCATCAAACTCTGCCTGCTGGAACAGAAAGCTCCCTCCTGGGTTGGTATTTATGAACTAAACAAACCAAGTTCCCTGAGCCACTTGCCCTAAGACCAGTTTTCTCGTCCTACAGTTTATTTTCCAGCTGTTCTGAGTTGATGACACCAAACCCACAAGTGATCATTAACTCCTGTTGTGCCAGCACTGAAGGTAAAAATGCTGAGTATTCCCTGATCCTCAAAATCCTTGTTTGGATGCCCACAGGCATGGAATGGTATAAGATCTTCAGCCTAGGCAGTGGTGAGCATGCAGCAAATCACCCAAAATGCTTCCCCAAAGAGTCACCTGCCTGCAAACGTGGCCAGTGCCTTTTGTTCCCTCATCTTGGATTGCACCAGCCTCACACAGGCACACACAGCTCCATCCCTTCCCCTTTCCCACCTGTCAGCTGCAAACCCATCAATAATGAATTGCTGTTCTCTTGCACATCATTAAAAATGCAAGAAGGCAAGGGCTGAAAACTGGTTCTCCACGGGACACACCCAGATATGAAAAGTGTCAGCTCAGGAGTCCTCAAATCATTCTGAGATGTGTGAGTTGAATAATCCTCGACTCGTTTCCCAGGGGTGACGAGTTTGCAGCATTCTGGTTGCATTTTTTTTTCAGAAAGAATTGTGTGGTTATCAAGGAAGTCACAGACAGGAAAGCACCACATGAGCACTGCTGGCTTTCTGAATCAAACCTGCAGTTTGACTACAAATCGTGTTGGACAAAAATATAAACCCCTCTGAAGAGTTAGTTAATGATCTATCAATATTTCTTACTGAAATATTTCAACATATCAATATTTCTTACTTCTTCACCGCAGAGGCGGAATCGAAATAAGGCTAAGAAATTATAGTTCTTCTACTCCTCTTATTTACATTTTTCAAGCCCAACAGCAAAATATCTGCCTCTTCCCCACACCCTGACATTTCCTCAGTATTTCAAGTCTCAATTTAAAATTATCTGAAACCAACCAGAGGAGCTGTTACTGCACCCCAAGTAATCCAGGCCTGTTCAGTATCTCACGAGCTATTACTGACATGGAAAATTATCATTTATATGCATTTATCACATAAAGATGACATACAGATAATGAACCTTGATGATCTCTTCTGCATATTTCTAATATTTCAGTCTAATGGAAGATAAAACCTGATAGATTTCTTATTGTCTTGAATTCTTTCAGCCTTGATTCCTTCAATATGTAAGGAAGTCTCCTAAAAGCTCATCTTGACATTAAAGGCTAAAAGACCAAATCCACACCTCCATCAGCAATATGGTCTAGTTCCTGTGTACCAGAGCAGAGCCCAAGTCCCCAGGATATTTCTTTAAGACTTTCCCCCAAAAGGAAGGCAGAGCTTTTGCTATTTATTACTATTGATCTTCATTTTATTTCACGAGACTCAAAACTGAAAATCCTGCTCCGCGTTACTCAGAATGAAAATTAAAACTACGGGATTTTGGCAGAAGGATTCCAAGGCTCCAACAGAAAATGTGACCTCCACAAGGAAGGGACCAGAACAAGGTGAACCACAGCCAAAATTTCTTTTGCTCAATGTCATTCACAGAGGACATTTCCTGAGAAAGCAGCCTTTTGGTCACCTCTTCCTTCAGCTGTCCCACAGCCCGCTGAGGATGAGTGACAGCATCCCACTGAGCACAGCACTTCCAGAATATTTTAGCAGCTGAATACTAACACTGCAGAACATCACATGCAGTCTGTGTTCAAAATAAAACAAAACACAACTACTCATCTTTTCTTTTTTTTCTTTTGAATATCCCACTGCGTTGCTGCAGTGACCGAGCACATCTCACACCTCACTGATGGGACAGCACCATTAGCAGGACTATTTGGGGGAGATGGGAGAGTTTTATAACGTTACACACACAAAAAACATTGGGGTTTTCCCTCTGAGATTTAACTTCCCTCCCAAAAAGCTGCTGTGGGACGGTGGAGCCCGAGGTGACACCCGTGGCAATCCCTGTGTGTGATGTTTCCCACCGACAACACACGTGAGAAAACACGTCCTGGGTAGGACACTTTCTGCAGCCAACGACCAGAAATAACACATAAAACTGGTTTCAGAACCAGTTGTGCACTCTGCACTTGTGTTTTATTTGTTCTCATGAGTGCAAGCCAAACAATTCCACCCTGGGGGGGGTCCACAGGACGGAGCCACGTGAGATGGCCCAAAATTAGAGAACCTTGGACATCTGAATGCAAGTGCTCAGTGTCCTTTTCCAGGCACTAAACGCTGAGGAAGAGAAAAGAGAGATTCAGGCAGCAACACCCCTCTCACAGCCTCCAAACCAGTAATTTCGATTTCCATGGTGAAATCCCCTCCTCTCCCCGGCGCTGTTGTCTCATCTCCAGCCTTGGATCAACAACCCAACTCGCCAGAAGAGCTGTTTGTTCGACCGTGTCTCCATTTAATCGAATGATAATTGCAGCTCCTGTGGTAGCCCTCCCACCCCTCCTCAGCTTATTCATCCCTTGCCAAGCTTCACTCACCAGTGACCACGACGTTCTGCTGTCTTCCAGCGCTGCCTGTTCCTCCCCAGACACTGAATATCCCTTCAAAAGGTACCTGACCTCCTGCCCTGCCACTGAAACAGGAGCTTCTCATCTGCTTTCTAGTTTCTGACCTCTTACACTTTGCAACTCTTAACCTGCTCTTTGTGGTTGGGGAAGTCCCATTTTGCTGCGTTTTTCGTTTCATATCTCACAGCACTGTCAAACAGACCCTTGAATTCATCTGCCTACGTCTCTAAATTCACATTTATCACTTTTTATCACTCTCAGCCAACTAAAGCGACCCAGAGAGATGTTTTTCACCTGGGCTGCCCTAAATCCATGAAAACAGAGTCCTTTCTTACACGCAGCAGGTATTTCCTTTGTGCTTAAAAATGAGAATCCAAAATATTACAGGCATTTGGGGAATAAAACAAAAAGA